TACATCCTATTGTACCTATTATCGACAATCCTTCAAAATAAATATGCAGGTATAGTTTCAACAATTTAAAGGTGGTGATTTTAGAGTAATATAATATAAGCTGCTTAAACTGAACGAAAAAAATTAAAGCAAACTATTATCGACAATAATTGATCAAGCTGAGCCAAGCATTAAAGGATAAAAAGGCGCAATACGTTAAAAGACATGACAAGGCTATTCTTTTACATAACGATACACAACGCCATGTTGCAAATGTTGCAAAAAAATATCTGTAGAACGTAAAATGGAAAGTTCTACCCCAACTGTTGAATTCACCAGACATTGCCCTTTTTGATTACTATTTGTTCCGGTCGATGACACATGGCCAGGGTGAGCAGCAATTTTCTTTTTATAACAATACTAAAAATGGTTTGATTACTGGATTGCCTTAAAAGACAAAAACTCTTCCCTGTGTGAAATCTACAAGCTAACTGAAAAATTAGAGATTGTTGTAGAATACTGCCGATGGACAGTATTTTGAGTCTGATAGCCTTAAAAAAATGATCCATAACGAGTTTTAACTTGTGGTGGTATTTAAAATAAGTTTAAAGGAGAAAATTTAAGTAAAACATCAGGCATTACGCAATTCAAAAACTGTCCAATTTTTCAATAAGGATGGAACATTTTACTAAGATAAATTAAAAATATTTTCTTAAAAAAAAAATGATATTCTTAATGTCATTAACATATTTGAAGATTGATTTGGTTAGTTTACTCAAAAGTAAAACATATTGAAAAATATGCTTCACTTTTAAGTGAAAACAACATATTGCTTCAAATAACTTGTTTATTAGATTGTATGAAATGAAATTATGTTTTTGCTGTCAGATTTGGGCACATTTTGAGTCTAGAACTCTAATACCAGGCATAAGCACTTGGTTAGGCACCCAAATTGCAGGTAGAGGAGAGAGATTTATTTAGGGACCAAAAAGTTCTAGATTTAAAATCTTATTATTTTACTTATCTAGATGGCGATTAATTTATTGTTTTAACTTTTTAGAAGTTTTTCTGCCCGGATTACTTCAATAATGGACTGTTATCCGCCTGAGCTGTTTATAATTTATTGGATTGACATTGACTTTTTATTTTACACTATAGTTTTTGTAGGAACACGAATCAGCATCGAATTATCTTTTAACAATATATGAAAATTTAGTTTGTTAAAAATAATTATTTTTGACTCTTATTTATTTCTCTTTTAAATTAGGAATAAGTTCCGGTGATCTAATCGATGTGATTCGGTGATCTAATTGATATGATCCGGTGACCTAATAAATTTTTTTGGTATGAATAACAATAAGTTTATATTTACTTAAGCAAAGTTTGATCTTTATACTACTTTTTTTTAGTTTATTTTTTTTAGTTATTTTAAAACTCTAGTGGATTAATCTTGGCGTAAACAAAAGCTCGTATGAGAATTTTATTTAAGCAATGATTGTAAATAAAATATCAATTACATCTAGACCTTAATGATAGTGCATGTAAAGATACCAATTACATTTTTCTACAAAACTTTATCATAAACAGCAGAAGCATGTAACAAAAGATTTTCTAAACAACGCTAATAAATTAAATGTCCCCCTCCCCCCTCACTAAAGCCCAGATCAGTTTGCGTGCACATTAATTACAACAAAATTGAGCAATATAAAGAAACTATTCCGATAGCAACAAACCACTTAAAAATCTCAAATTAATTCTTATCTTACATTATTAATTAATTTACTTAGAAAATAATCTCACATAATACCTTAAGATTAAGATTAGTCAGTTATTCTTCTCAACAATTCGGATAGGAGCAAGACTATCAAAATAATTCAGATTTTTATTCTGAATACTGCATAAATGTTTTCACTGAGGCTGAAGAGTGACTACAAAACTACAAGTATTTGGTATCTAAAATCAAGTTGCACAAAACAAAAATATTTTTAAATGTCAACTAGATAAAACAACAGTTTTTTCATTCGTTACTAGCACATTGTTTATGCACACGCCTCTCTTTCAAAGTTGGATTTTAATTATTACTCAGAATTTGTACAGGTTGCGGGTATTTATGCTTCTTCTAAGTTTCTAAAGGGTTTTGAAATATGCATACAGGAAGCAAAATAGGAGAGCCTGGGGTTAGTTGTCCCACTTTTTACGCTTTTAGTTTTTAATTTTCATTAAAACTTCGCACAAAAGTATTTCCAGTAACAAAGATTTTATGACATTGAATTAAATATATTTCGAGGTAAAATCATTTTTTAAAGACGTCTGCAGTGTGACAACTAACTCCAACCACGGGGTTGATTGTCACAGAGTGTGAAGTTGGTTGTGATTGGTATGTTTGGATTATAATCAGTTAATGCAAACTTGAGTACAACTTAATTTTGTTAATATAATTTGACTTCAACAATTTTTTTTACTTCTATTTACAATTAATTTTTTTTTTAGATTTTAAACTTGCATATTTTTCCAAATGTAAACTTTTTTTTTTTAATTCTCCTCGTGGTAAAATCGCTTTTGTTCAATGGTTGCGCTCAACAAAAACGATTTTTTCCAATACTCTTAGGTGGTATGATTGAATTTTTAAAAACTTTTCAAAAGTTTAAAAAAACTAATTGAGTGATTGTGTCATGATGAAAGATTTTATTTGATTCCAGAGGATCTTTTATACTTCTGTCTAGCTGTTTAGCCGGTATTTGAATAAATTTTTTATTTGGTGGTTCTAGTTAAAGTGATTATTTAAATCAACATATGAAGAAGATAGATTTGTGAATCAATCAACTGTTTTGCTTCAAGTGAAATACAAAGGACCTCAAAACAATACTAAGCCGATATGCCTTATTCAGTCGTTGAAATAGAGTACAGACAATTGAAATGAAATTTTAATTGTTTGTACTCTATTTCAACAACTAATATAAAATTAAAATGAAATCCATGAAGATTGTATTAATGATGTGTTTTAAACAAACGAAGTAAATATCGAAGTTAAAAATAGACCTTAAGAAACAGTTGTGTGCTTGCAATGAGTTGCTCGAGAGTGGTACATTAACGAGGTGCTCGAGAGCGGTACATCAACGAGGTGCTTGAGAGCGGTACATGCCTCAAAAATACCTTAATTTCTACTTGTGTGATCTATAAGGAGCAAGAAAATGCGTTATTTAATGGTAGAAAGCTCTGGAATACTTTTTGGCGTTTCTGTGATCTACGATTTTTTTATTTTTTAATCAGCGTAACCGCTTAAATCACTGTTGCATTGATAATAATATAATATAAATTTAATGATAACATGATATTAATATAATATAAATTACAATGATAAAAATTTAAAATTTATTCGATTGAAGATGTGTAAAAATGAGGCATTTTATTTACCGATGAAAAAAGCAAAAAACCCTTACTTGTATTAATTGCGAGAAAACGTCAAAAAAGTGGAACGGATCCTGATAAAGTTAAAAAACTAAAGTTGAAAAGAAGAAAACTTGGTATGAAATTTCATAACAATTTTTCTGATACAAAATCAAATTTTATCAAGAATTTATTCATAATTCGGAATACAGGTTTATTCTTTACCTTATAAAACTAAGTAAAGCCCATGGCCGACGACACGGTTTCGAAGTGGGAGACACAATAGTCTATTTTTAAAAAAAGTCCTCCATATCCTAAATTTTCTAAAAAAAAAAAGATCCTTTATCAAAAAAAAAAAAAAAAGGGGGGGGGGAGGAGGAGGAGAAATTTCCCCCGGCACCGTCGGCCCTGAAGCCAATTGAAAGATTATTATGCTCCCATTATAAGTTTTTCTCTAAAATTATTGCGAAATTACATATTTTGTAAAAAATTGAACGATTTTGTAAACTGAAATATTTTGTATACTGAAAAATGTATTTTTAGTCTTTTAGTAGTTCTATACTATTATTCAATCTGTTCATTTTACATGTTTTTGTTTACATTCTCATTAGGTAAAATATATTGTTAAAATGCTATGAATTAGATTTATCTAATTCATAGGATTTTAACAATAGATTTTACCTAATTAAACTTTCGTTAACTTTTTTTTTCATTTACTCTATGCTTGCGATTTTCATAAATGCTTTAATACAGGGTTGTTTCAAGCTGACTCGGAGCCCTCGGGCAAAATTAAATTGTAAAGCTCCAAAAAGCTAAATACCTAAAAAGTCACATTTACAATGTGATTGTATAGACTTTATAATACTTAGCAAGAATTTAAGGTGGTCTTTAAATCACTGGCTTGGAGAAAAATTGTCCCGTTGTCGGACTGTCAACAAATTTGACTGTCAAAAAATTTGACTGTCAACTAATTTGACTAAAATAACGCACCCTTTAAAAAATAAATAAAAATAGATTATGTGAGGGCAAAATTTAGGGTGATGAGAGTCAGATTTAGGGATGCGGTCAGAATAGGGTTAAGAAAAAGGTAATTTTGTTTTAACTTGATAACTAGTTCTAAACCTTTACCCAGACCCTGACCCTCAAATAAACGTTTATTTATTTATTTGTATGTCACATCAAACAAATATATCAGAGATTTATCAACCCGTGTTTAGACTATTTGTAACAAGCACAAAAAAGCAATTTTTTATTTTAATCGCCGCTTAACTCAATCTTGTCTTAAGAAAAGATAAATGCCGTAGGTGTAGTCAATGTGAATATAAATTGTATTTATAAAAAAGTATATTTATGTGGTCTATTTAATACAATTTTTCCCTATTAGTTGAAATAAAAAAAATTTAAATCTTTTCTAAGTAATTAATTCAAGAAACTAATTAATTAGTTCATTTAGAAACTTATTATATTAATGAATTAAAAATCGGTTCTGATAAACTTCTTTTAATTAAATAATTAGGACTTTCCATTATACACCAACTACCTAATTTTGTATGCAAAAAAAAAAATTTTTAATTATTTTCTAATATGCAAGAGTTTATAATTCAAACTCATTCAATAAAAGAAAAAATGTTTACCGGTTGTTGGGTTAAGAAGAACCCCGAAAATAGGATCTAGAGGACCATAATCTTCGGCAACAAAGTCAGCAATTACTTTTCCAGATATAATTTGTTGAAGACTTCCCCAATAATCATTGTGATTCAAAATATCAGTTTCACCTGTAACAAATTTAATTTGTTTTCTCACAAAAAATTAAGTAAATTATTGCATTATATATATATATATATATATATATATATATATATATATATATATATATATATATATATATATATATATATATATATATATATATATATATATATATATATGTATATATATATATATATATATATATATATATATATATATATATATATATATATATATATATATATATATATATATATATATATATATATATATATATATATATATATATATATATATATATATATATATATATATATATAGAAACCGCCACAAAGTTTTTAGGAATAATTCTTGATGAAAATATTACATGGAAAACTCATATTGACTACATTAGCGATAAAGTTGCTAAAAGTATTTGCATCCTATTTACGATCAGATTTTTTTTAGATAAAAAGAGTTTAATGCAACTCTACTACTCCTTCATACATAGTTATATTAACTATGCCATATTGATTGGGGAAGCACAAGCAAAAGTAAATTTCAATTTCTTTATCGTCGTCAGAAACATACTATGCGTTTAATATATTTTAAAAATCGTTTAACGCATTCAAATTTTTCATTTAAAGATGCGAATGTCCTTAATGTATATCAACTCAACATTTGTGTTTTTGCTTTAATGTAAAGTTTCAATGTAAAGATGACTCAGCACTATCTATTTTTAAAGATTTTTTTATCAAAAAAAATAAACAAATATATTTTGCGAAATTATAATTTTTTAAATGAACCACTTTGTCGTACAAAGTTTAATCAATTTTGTATTGGATATCGTACACCTTAACTCTGGAACAAAATTGTTTTGAATAATTTTGATTTATCAACTTTATTTGAACTTTTTAAAAATAAACTGAAAAAATTTATTTTTTGTATAAACGATATAATAAATTACTTCTAATATGCAATAACGAACTGTATACTATTGAATTTTTAAATTTATTTTTGCTGTTATTGTTGCTTTTACGCTTTTAAAAGGTTCTGACGACAAGATCAATGAGATCTTCTATCAAAAACTTTGTTTATATTTGTAAAGCGTTTTTTTATAAAGTTATTTATATAATTGTAAACTGTGACACGATATAAAAAAAAAAAAAAAAAATTAAAAATATTATGAGAATAAATTATTTAGCATAAAAAAAAATTCATACCTGAACGAGATTTGTATATTTGTAAGAATTTTTCTGAATCTTGTATGAATCTTTCTTTATCTTCTACCTCTCTTATCTCCATCAATTTTTTAACATAAAAAGAAAATGGATTTACTCCCAAAGACACCCAGTTCCATTCTTTTCTTCTTAAATATGAATCCACAGTTGATAAAATTTCACCTAATGATTTGTCTTTTAGTTCTCCTGAACCATCGTTAACCACAACTTCATTTTTTATACTGTTTATCATGTTTGATAAATTATCACGATTGCTTAGCAATTGAACGCAATATTCAACGATGGCTTCGTTTTTTAGATGCAACAATTTTGAAATATGGGTTTTGTTTTCAGTTAAAACGTTTTTATCATCTAAAGATGAATTTAAAGTGTTTTGGTTTGGAAAAGTTTCTATTTCATTGGTACTGAATATAGTTTGCTGCTCTTTCGTCTCTGATCCTACAGATACAATGACATATTCTTTTAAGAGCTCATTTAATTCAGATGTATTAACATCAAAATTTTCATTTGTTTTGATGTTTACTAAATCGCTTGTAATTTTAGTTTTTTTAACTAGTTTACTAAAACTGTAACTCATTCTCTATATTAAATATTTTTTACAATCTGAAAAAAAAAAAAAAACTATAACATGTTAAAAAAATAATTAAATTTTAGAACATAATAACAATCACAATAAAATAAAAACATTTTTAGCTCATGGCCGTATATAAGACGTATAATGAACGTTCTACTTTTCTTTTTTTTTTCATTTTTTTGCCTAAAGGAAAGTGTAATAAGATTTTTAATATTAGCATTCTAATTGGATTTAAGTAGAGTTTTCAAACTGCAATCTTTAGACGGTTAACGTAGCGCCAGGGTTGGAATAACCCACCGGGGCGCCAGTAGACCGCAGCAGATCACAAAGCATCGCGGAAGAGCATTTAAAAGGAAGTTTACGCCTCCTTCTTTTACCGATGTTATAAAACTTTCGTAGAGGTGGCGTTGAACCACGGATTCATAGCCCCCGAGGCAAGCACGTCAACCACCGCGCTATTGCTGCTCAAATAAGATTAAAAGATAAATTTCGAGTTTTCAACAGAAAAAATAAATTTACCAGAAATTCATAATAAAGAAACTAAGCTACCAGAGTTAATGAAGAAAATAAAATTGAAAAAAATAATTGAAAAAAAAAATCAATGTTTTAACTGTTTTCCTTATTGTTTAAATGTTTTGTTTAAGTACAAATTATATGTTGAATCATACAGCCATTTTTTTTATTTGCATATAAATATATTTAGATTTTGTCTTGCACCCAAGTAAGGTGGGAAAATTTTTTTTTTTCATAAAATTGTATAAAAACAGACAACAAAACTGCTTATTACGTAATAATTTTGATGCTTGGATATTAATGAATTGAAATAAAGATATTTTAAAATTAACACACGACAATATTATAGCTGAAGTAGCTAAACAAAGTTCTTTACTAAAAAGAAGTTTTATTAATTCAGATTATTAGGGGAAGTTGGGGCACAGTCAATTGGAATTGGGAAGTTAGGGCACAGTCAATTTTTTCAAATTAATCAAAAATTAAAATATATATTTTATCTTTTTCAAGGCGAAAGGATTGAGATATATGTCCTTCATGATAAGAAATCCTTAAAATCCAAATATTTATTATCTAACGGCTTACAGAAAGGTTTTAAGTGAGTTGTGTTAAGTGATTCACTGTACCCCTAGTACTGTTCTTCAGCAGTACGGTTCTTCAGGAGACTATTTTGAAATTTAAAATACTGGCATTATAAATTCTCTGGTATTGGAAGTTAAAAGTTCAAGATATGATATGATAGTTTTTTAATTTTTAACTTTAAAATCAACATTGGGTTGTTCTATGGGACGATAATAATGACATAATAGCCAAGAAAGTCTTTATTGCTGAAAACCACTGAGTTAAATAGAAAAATCCCTGTATATTGAAATTCTGACAGTATAATTTTAGGCGTAAATGCAAAAGAGAAAGCAATCCCATCCAACCTTTAAATGTCATAAATTGGTAATAGAAGGATTTAAATGGTCCATAGACAGTGTTGTCTTAAAACATGGGAGCTGTCCCGACTATTACAGGTGAAGCACCGTGTACCATTAAGTCTTTTACAATGCATAGGAAACACCTTAATTGAAGGAATCGCATTTCCTATAGCATTTACTGCGGCAAGCATTGTGACCAAAACATCTCTCTCTACTGAAGTAGTTTTTCTTACTTGGATGTTATTTTACAGGCAATTACTTTCATATTTGTCACATTTTGTTCAGTGCAACAAACTGTCTCATCGGCATTATAGATGTCAAAAGGATTAAAATTATATTTTCTATGAATTTCTTCCAAATTTTTAAAAAAATTTGCAACATTTTTTAAATTAAAACTTGTTACATCTGACAAACTGTTTGCTTCTGGTCTACTTAAAGAAAGAACTTTAAATTTATTCATGAAACTATACAAACAATCTTCTCCAGCAGTCAGGTTTTTTATCTATAATCCATGATAGTAGAACAATTTTGTGGTCAGCAAAAATACGCTATTGGACGATAGTGGAACAATTTTCCGGTCAGCAAAATCATAAGCTGATTTTGCTGACTCAGTGCGAGTAAGTCCAAAATGTATCTTAGAGTTCTTCACTACGTAATATTTTAACAATATTTCTTCTTTATTATTGAAAACCTGTCGACATTTGTAAAATGTGTGTATTTTACTTTATCATGACCATCTTGTTTAGCTTTTTCCATATACCGTCGTAACGTACCGCAGAAATGCTTTGCCCTTTTTTAATTACCATACGCACTGCATCCACCATGTTTAAAGAATTTGTGTTACCAATACTTTTATTAATCAGTTTTCGGTTCTGGACCATATTGACTAAAGCAAATAAAGCATAAAGAATCGTTATTAACTGTTATAAAAATATGTGGATAGTATTTTGTTAAACTATTTTTTTAGAACAATAATACAACAAAATATTATAAAGCCATAATGAAGTAATACTTTAAAGTTTCTGTTACTTCATGAAATTAAAAAAAGCTACTCCAAACATAGTTTTAGCTATTATATTAATATATTCAAAATGTGTTAAAAAAAAATAATAAAAATATAATAAAAATATCTCATAACTTGAAATGAATCAATTTTTATCTAGTTTGTTTGTTAAAAATGCATGAATTTAATCTTTAAGATCATTAATGGGGCACATATAATCAACTGATTTACTGTATCCTGATTTACTGTGCCCCACCACAACAAATTAAGTTCAAGCTTAATTTCTTAGGACGTAAGTGTTATTAAAATAAAAAGCTAAACTACTAAAAAGAAGCATAAATGCTAATTATCTGAATAAAAAATTTAACTTTGAAAATTATTAAAACCATGGCTTCCATAAAAAACATAAGGAAGGTAAGAAAATTTACTTTAGTTCGCCTAAAAAAAAGTTTTTTTTTTCAGCGAACTAAAGTAAATTTTCTAAATTGATTTTCTAGGTCATTTTAAAATTACCGGACAAAAACCGGTAGTCAAAAATTATTTGGTAACAACTATAAATAAAGATTGCTGATATATGAGAACATAAAATGATTACATTATTGTGATGAACAAAATCCTAGGGGTGGAATGCAAGAAGCAAGCTTGAGTCAAGTTCGACTTGAACTTTACTTTGTAACCAGTAGCGGCAGAGTATTTTTTGAGGGGAAAACCCATACTCTGTCGCTATTGGTTACAATGTAAAGTTCAAGTCGAGCTTGACTCAAGTTCGCTTCTTGCATTCCACCCCTATTTTTGAAAAAAATGCCTCTTATTTACTATGCCCCACGATCTATTGAACCTCACCTTCCCCTATACCTCAACATTTTTAAACATAATTTGTTTTTTTATTATAGTATTTATGTATTACATCATTACAATATTTAAATACAAAGGGAAATGTTGTCGTATAAGGTAATGTATTAATTTGTCTAGTTTTATCATATTATAATATTTTTTTTATTTTATTTATTCTATCTGTGTTATTACAACAGTGCATAATACATTCTAAGTTTAGTAGTTATATGTTTTTAACAATTCAACAAATGATAATAAGTTATTTTTTGATGTTTTACAAGTATAATAAGATATTAAATAAAAAGAAGTAAAAATAGCCTGATATAATATAGGCCGGTTCCAACCCTGTGCTTTCTCAAATACACCATATGAAGCAAGCTTATGGAGAAGATAAGCATGCTAAATCTTATCGAAACCTTTTGTTATGTCAAAACAATAAACTTGTAAAAGATAAAAGAGAAAATAATTAGGGAAGAGTGGGGTATTGACAAACACCTAAGCGGAAATGCAAACTAAAGACACCGGTTATAGAAAATTGATCATATTTATTGCTTATCATTTTGTCTAATTATTCAGCCACGAACACCCAAAGGCAATTTTTATATATCTTATTTATAAAATTTAGGGCAAAAACAAATTGGTGTTCAAAATTATCCTACGTACGTGGGGTAATTCACGAACACATCTTGGGGTAATCACAAACATTGTTGTGTAATAACGAATAAAATGCTAATTGTAATAACAAAGTGCAGAAATCACAGACAAAACCTCAGGATATGCTTATCTCCACCAGGCCTTATTCATAATCCAGTAATCCATGGGCAGGTAATGAAACTTTTCATCGCAACATAATACAACAACACTCTTTTAAAATTATTATTTAATTTTTTAGTTATTAAAATTTTAAAAAATAATTACAAAAAAAAAATCAAAAACAAAACCCAGGGACGTGTTTTCACCAATTGTGCACTTTTTCTTTACATGATGGTACATGATCAGCCATTAATAGATTAAAGTTCTTCTTTCTCTTTTCTAAAATATTTCTCATTGGCGAATTAATAAAAATATTGGAATGTTTCTTTCTTAAACATTCTCTGATTTTAACTTTATGAATGAAATTCTAACAATTTATCTGTTAAAATCTAACATATTTAATAATATAATCTACAGTTTATCTGCTAAAATTAAATGTGACAAAAGTAAGAAACATTAAAGTTCTGGCCGCCTGACATCCGTTTATTATCAATGACACTTTAGACGTTCGAAATCACCCATTAAGATTGTTCTTTATTTTCCCGCGGACACAAACAAATGAAATACGATTAATCTAATGAGACATATTGACATACCCGAAATATAATACGTGTTAAAAACTCCTTCAGGCAAAAAGAATTTGTCAAGAATTTGTCCTACTCTCACCTAGATTTATAAATAATTTACAAAAGTGCAAAAAGTAGAAAAGTTTTCCTAGTTATCTTAGAGTATTTACATATTAATTAAAAGTGTTTGTTATCTAAGAGTATTTACGTGTTTCTTGTTGATCTTTTTTTTTTTTTTATCTTTCTTTTCTGTTCCTATTTTTTATTTTTAACTTTTGTGACAAATGTTAAGTACTTATTATTTTGAAATATCAATAATATCATTAGTACGCAATTATCATTAGTTTGCAATTATTAGTATAAAATCATTAGTATAAAGTTAAGTTTACCAAGTATATAAAATTATTAAGTATACCAAGTTTAGATTCACTTATTAGTATT